CCATCGTACTCAATGGGTTTAGCTGTCGTACTCAGTTGGTTGAGCAATTGTACTCATGATTTTAAGCTATCGTAGACAATGGGTTAAAGTATCGTACTCTGGTGGTTAAAATGTTTCTTACACACCAGTTTAATTTATTGTACTCAGGGGATAAACTATATCGTACTCAGACAGTGGGTTAAGCCATTATACAGAGAATCACCACCACACCACCACACTATGGCGGGTCGTGACACTGGGAAAATTCAGTGGTGTAGACTAAAATGTCGAACCAAAGATTATTACATCATGTCTCCCAAGTTTAAGTTTCGTAAGTCAGTAAGTCAGTTAGGTGGTGGGAAGTTACGGTCAATTTGCCGCCGCGGTGTAGAACTTGGTGGTGGTGTTAGATATATATCCTGCCTTCCTTCTTTCCTTCCTTCTTTCCTTCCTTCATTTATTCATTGCATCCTTCCTTCATTCATTCATTCGTTCAATCATTCATTTATTCCTTTCTTTCTCTCTATCCTTCCTCCCCTTCCTCTTTAAACTTTACAAAGGTTTATATTAGTTTATATTGGTTTAAATGGGTTTATTTGTCAGGGTTTAATTGTACCGTTTGGAGGTTCGACTGCCAGGGTTATGAAGCATCGTTAGAGGGTTCAACTACCGGGGTTATGAAGCATCGTTTGGGGGTTCAACTACCAGGGTTATGAAGCATCGTTTAGGGGTTCAACTACCGGGGTTATGAAGCATCGTTTGAGGTTCAACTACCAGGGTTATGAAGCATTGTTAGAGGGTTCAACTACCGGGGTTATGAAGCATCGTTTGGGGGTTCAACTACCAGGGTTATGAAGCATCAAGTTTAGGGTCTAACTACCGGGGTTATGAAGCATCACTTGGGGTTCAACTACCAGGGTTATGAAGCATCGTTTAGGGGTTCGAACTCACCGGGGTTATGAAGCATCGTTTAGGTTCAACTACCAGGGTTATGAAGCATCGTTTAGGGTTCAACTAACAAGCTATGAAGCATCAGCTTGGGGTTCAACTACCAGGGTTAGGAAGTATCGTTTAGGTTCAACTACCGGTTATGAAGCATCGTTAGAGGGTTCAATCAATGGGTTATGAAGCATCGTTTGGGGGTTCAACTATCAAGCCAGGAAGCATCGTTAGAGGGTTCAACTACCAGGGTTATGAAGCATCGTTAGAGGGTTCAACTACCGGGGTTATGAAGCATCGTTTGGGGGTTCAACTACCAGGGTTATGAAGCATCGTTAGAGGGTTCAACTACCAGAGTTATGAAGCATCGTTAGAGAGTTCAACTACCGGGGTTATGAAGCATCGTTTGGGGGTTCAACTACCAGGGTTATGAAGCATCGTTAGGGGTTTCAACTACCAGGATTATGAAGCATCGTTCACTGCCTTAGATCTTAGTTAATACAATATAACAAATTACTTTTTAATGTCTTGTGTATGTCAGTCTCTTTGTGCTGAATCGTGAAGTGTGAGTCGAAGTATTACAAGAGGCGTCATGTAGTGAAGGTGCTAGAGGCATATTGTAAAGAGAAAATTGATAGTGTGTGTGTGTGTGTGTGTGTGTGTGTGTGTGTGTGTGTGTGTGTGATGCTCTTTCCATCACACTACCACCAACACTACTACCACCTACCATTACCACCTACCACCACCACCACCACCTACCACTACCACAACTACCATCACCACCACCACTCTAATCTTCCTGTCACCTCTGATAACTTCCTTGATTATTTTCTAAGCCAATTTTAATGGGACATAAAACACGGATCTGGTCTTTAAGCTGTTCTTCCTCCCCGGGCTGATCACACACGTCTCAAACACGTAAAATGGGAGGGATTTATTAGGTGGGAAGATCATCAGCTTATGAGGTTAATATCCACATGAAGATTAACCTAACCTAACCTAACCTAACCTAACCAAACCAAATGTTAGCAAACCAAGCCAGTCCTGAGTAAACTAATGACTGGATCAAAGACAAACCTAACATAGATGTCTCTTTCAGTGTTTGTTCTTCTTCAAAAATACATATAGAATGTTTTATATATTTCAATGTTTATGTTGAAAAATCAAAGAAACTGTAAACATCGTCTCTCAGTTACCCACCACGCTCGTTAACATGGGTGAGGTGGAGACTAAATACCCCCCCCCCCAATTGGCTCATTTACGATATTGTTTTTTTGTTTTTTACGAGTAAGTTATGTTTGGTTGTTTCGTGTCGTCTACTTTCTTATTAATGACAGATAAAATGATTCAACGGCCATGTTCATGTTATTTCTCTTCCTGACAATGTTCATCTTACACTTTGGTCTCCTTGTTGTGAGGTAAGTGAACTCTGGTCTAACACCTGACGGCCGTACGATCAAGTTATGTTGTTACTTTGTTCTCAGTCTGCGTTAAACACCCTCCCTTCCCTTCCCCTACTCCCCCTTACCCACCCTCTCCCCCTCCCCTCTCTCCCTCTCCCCTTCCTCCCTTAACCCCCAGGCATGATAAACGAACCCAGGGACTCGGTATATGCCCTGAGTTTCTTTACAAAAACTCAATATCAAGTTTGACACTTTATTAAGGCGTTTGACGTCGTTCCTGACATGAATAAGTAAACCATGACTTAATTCTTTATGAAGGAATTACCCATTTTCTTTCTCATGGGTAAATAAAGTGAGAATTAAGGGATAACTGTGAAGAAATTGTCCATTTTCTTTCTCATGGGCAAATAAAGTGAGAATTAAGGGATAACTGTGATGAAATTACCCATTTTCTTTCTCATGGGTAATTAAACAAACTTAAATTAACACGTGGTTCCAACACTTCTTAGGATGACTCTCAGACACGAGAGGTGTGTCATAATAAGCTATTCTCCCACCCTAATATATAATGCCTTCTTGATCCATGAGACTGTTACGACCAGCATAATGCACAGTTAGTTAATGATTCAAATAAGTTATGATGGAAATATAAGTTGATTTAGCGTCCCGTTAAAGGTTATGAAGTTAATGACTCGCATAGATAATGTTGATGGCGAACTGTTGAGGTAGTGAGGGGCTGCAAGTCTAATAGGCCCCAGTCCTATTAGGTCCCCTCGTCAAACTATTAGGGCCCAATAAACCTTAAATTCAGTAGGGCTGTGTGTGGTACTTGGCTTAAGGTACTGTATGATATTCATGGGTTAGAAACATGAAGGGAAATGATAAAATCCAAAATGGCAGCAAAGTTTCACCAATACTCCACCGTCACTGGCTGGTGAGGTCACTTATCACCAGTCAAAGGAAGAGATACGACGAGAGAACTTTTGAGACTTGAGTGGGCTTGGTGACATAACCCCTCATCCCCCCCCCACCCCCCTGTGTCTCCCCACCGCCCCCCACCCGTCCCCCTCCCCTGTGTTAGATGGCGTCAGCGACACACACACACACACACATTGTTTATTCTCCATGATTTCTAGGAGAAAGACTTAAAGAAAGTTGATATTCTTGGTTTGTTTGTATGCTCTTGTGCACCTGTGTGTGTGTGTGTGTGAGTGTGTATGTGTGTGTGTGTGTGTGTGTGTGTGTGTGTGTGTGTGTGTGTGTGTGTGTGTGTGTGTACTTTATTGTTTACTCTATACAGAATTAATTAACAGGTTCATCATTTTCTGTTTGGTTTAATGTCTCAGTAACTTTGTTTGTTTGTTTTGTTTCATTAGAAATAACAACACTACTCCTCCTCCTTCCCCTCCCTCCTCTTCCTACTCTCTCTTCCTCCTCCTCCCTTCCTCCTTCCTCCTCCTCCTCCCCCTTCTCCCTTCCTCCTTCCTCCTCCTCCCTCTCTCCCTCCTCTTCCTCCTCCTCTCCTCCTCCTCCTCCTCCTTCCTTCCTTCCATCCTCCTCCTCCTCCTCCTCCTCCTCCTCCTCCTCCCTCCTCCTCCTCCTCCTCCTCCTCCTCCTCCTCCCTCCTCCTCCTCCTCCTCCTCCTCCTCCTCCCCTCCCATTCCCAGGTGTGATTAAATACGTAATCACTTAACCTCACAAACAGAGAAAGAAGAAAAGAGAAACCATCTCACAAACAGAGGAAAGTTAAAAAGAGAAAAAACCTATGAATTCGGTCAGACTAAGTGGGGAAAGTGGTCACTGTGGGAAAGTGGCTGACTGGAAGTGGGCTGACTGAAAGGGTCAGACTGTGGTGCAGAGTGGGAAAATCAGGAAAAGAGGAAAGTGGTCAGACTGTGGGAAAGTGGGTCAGAACCGTGGAAAGTGGGTCACCGTGGGAAAGTGGGTCAGACTGTGGGAAAGTGGGCAGACTGTGGCTAGAGTGGGAAATGAGACCTGAGGAAGACTGTGGGGCAGACTGTGGGAAAGTGGCTCAGACCGTGAAAGTCAGACTGTGGGAAAGTGGGAAGACTGTGGGTCAGACTGTGGAAAGTGGGTCAGACCGTGGGAAAGTGAGTCAGACCGTGGAAAGTGGGTCAGAGTCCGTGGGAAAGTGAGTCAGACCGTGGGAAAGTGAGTCAGACCGTGGGAAAGTGGGTCAGACCGTGGGAAAGTGAGTCAGACCGTGGGAAAGTGGGTCAGACCGTGGGTAAGTGGGTCAGACCGTGGGAAAGTGAGTCAGACCGTGGGAAAGTGGGTCAGACCGTGGGAAAGTGAGTCAGACCGTGGGAAAGTGAGTCAGACCGTGGGAAAGTGGGTCAGACCGTGGGAAAGTGAGTCAGACCGTGGGAAAGTGAGTCAGACCGTGGGAAAGTGAGTCAGACCGTGGGAAAAATTGCCAGATGAAACTATTATCTCTGTCTCTCTGTTTATCTCAACGTCTCCCTAATTTCCTCTCTCATTTATCTCTTCTCTCCTTGTAAATTATCATCCTTATCTTTTAATTACAAGATTAGTATAATATTTACTTGATTATCCATCTCTATTATCCCTTACTTAATTATTTTTTTTTTAGTGTATAATTTTCATTCGGACTTTTTCCAACGTTCGTACTACAAAGTTTTTTTCTTATGAAGGAAAGTTAATCCTGGCGAACTTCAGTCCGCCAGACGTCAGCACCGCCAGCGTTCTCTGTTTTGCAAGCCAACTTCCCCAACGTCATTCTTGGCCGCTGAAGAACTGAACTGAGCAGCTAATTTGAAATTCAGATTCTCAAAGGTTCGTACTTTATTTTTTTCTGTTTTATCGTTGATGACATAAGGAAGTTTGTATTAAAATAGTGGTTGACATTATGGTTTACGAGCGATATTTTACTGGTGGTTAAAGTTTGGTTAGGGTAGGTTAGGTTAGGTTAGGTTAGGTTAGGTTAGAGAATGTTGACTCGTCTTGGCCTGAGTACTTAAAAGATCTTTTGTTTGATACTGCCTATCAGGGGGCCGTCTACGTGAGGGTGATGGGGGGAGGGAGGTGTGAGGGGAGCTGATGGGAGAAGGAGTTGGTGGGAAGGGGAAGTTTATAGTAGGGGGAAGTAATAGGAGATTAGAAGTGATGGGAGAGGGAAGTGGTGGGAGTTGATGGGAATGGGGAAGGGGAAGGTAGTAGGAGGGGGAGGTAGAGGCAGGGGGGAAAAGGTGAGAGGAGGAACTAGAGGCAAGGGGGAAGGGGTAACAGGAGGAACCAAAAGCAGGGGGAAGGGGTGAGGAGGGGAACTAGAGGCAGAGAGAGATCAAGAAGACGACTATAAAGGTAAGGTTTCAGCGTCAGGTAAGGCAGATGGAGACTGGAGGTTGAGAGCCACAGTTTTCTGCTTCTGTGTAGGACTCTCGCCTTCAGGTACTCCACAGGGAGGCAGAAGACGACCCGAGTATCCCTTAACCTATAATAATGTTCTAGTTCAATGTAGTGTAATCATTGGCTTTATTTTCCTCTGTACGAAGTTCTTTTTTTTATTAGTATATTGAGTTTAAATGGAAATATATCTCTGTCCTGTTTGTTTTGCTGTAGTTATTATCTTGAAGAGTTTGTTGACCCGGCCATATCATGTCCCGGATTAAACACGGGGAAGAGTGATTGTTTTCATCCCGCTAACATGACCCAGATTTATAAAATAAAATCATTATTTCACCACTTGAGAATATAAACAATCCAGAAAAAATTAGTACTGGGCTTGGCTGACCTGCAAGACAACCAGGGAATTACTATACCTTTAGAAATATACGTTGATGGTGTTTATAGTAGAGAAATAGTCAAATAGTTTAACCAGAGAGTAAAACTGAGGAGGTCGCCAAAACTGAGCTTAGAGGAACGCCTTATAAGACTCGTATCTTAACTCAGGTGCCCCGAGTTGTAATCAGTGTTTGGCCTCGGTGAAACGTCTAGCCAAGGCAAGGAGACGAGGGTTTGATTGTAAATATCATCTTGTAAACATGATTGATTACGATTATGGGGTATGTATAATCGTAATTGTAATAAAAGATAATATATAGCTACGTAATCCAACATGTTAAAATATCTGTAATCTTGTTGTAATCATAATGTAGCTTCTTCTATAGTTTGTCATCGTAATCCACCAAAAAATCGTCTTAATTTATGATTATAAGTAAATTAAATATAATATTCGATATACTTACAGGATTACAGTACATCTCAATGGACATTTCAAAATTTTCCGCCACTTTGAATAATCCATTAGGTCAACTTGGCGTCATATAATTATATAATGTGGCAACACTGTGACCTGACCAATAGGCTACTTAGTTGCTTCTCCACCACCAGAGGTCCTTCATGTCCTTCTACCCCCGATGTAAGACTTGGAGGCACTTTGCTCCGGGATACTCTTAGCTACTCCCCTGTCTGTAAAGTTTGACTCCACATATTATCACCCAATTTGGTGTACCTTTTTAAGTGGCAGTGTTCAAGTCATAGATGATTTTTTAGTTGATTTTTATTATGTAGATTCTGTACAATCAAATGTTACTTAATACCTTGTAATTGTAATCATGAATGTAATTGTAATCCAGAGAAATCATAATCGTAATCAAATGCATTAAAACCAATGTAAAAAACAATCGTAATCTAATCAAGAAATTATCACTGTAAATCATAAACCAAAATAATGATACTTGGATTACGTAACCATCAAAAAATAATTGAGTATCGTAATCAGTAATCAGCCCTTTCGCTATAGAGAGAAGATTATCCTATATTGAAATTGAAAAAAAAAAATCCAGTTCCTAATTGCTGTAGGTAATCAAATCTACCTGAGTTTCCTGGGACATAATCAACAAAGTTTTAATGGGTCTTTCTCATTATCAATGCCCTTGACAACGCCACTACACCTTCTCTTGGTTATCGATTTGTTGGCCTTGACAGAGATGCTAAGAGTTCGAGTAGCGTCCAATGATAAGGTTTAACCCCTTGGTCTACAGTGTGTTTACAGAGTTCCTTGATGTTTGTGTTTACAGAGTTCCTTGATGTTTGTGTTTACAGAGTCCCTTGATGTCTGTGTTTACAGAGTTCCTTGATGTTTGTGTTTACAGAGTCCCTTGATGTTTGTGTTTACTGAGTCCCTTGATGTTTGTGTTTACAGAGTCCCTTGATGTTTGTGTTTACAGAGTCCCTTGATGTTTGTGTTTACTGAGTCCCTTGATGTTTGTGTTTACTGAGTCCCTTGATGTTTGTGTTTACTGAGTCCCTTGATGTTTGTGCTTCATCCTAAAGGCGTCTGGTATAAACATTCAAAATATTAATCACCATAATCACTATCTACCAAATTAATGCAAAAAAACAAACAAATGTTATTGACTTAATATATTGTGTGATTTACTTTTAGTTCCATTATTTTTTTCGGTATTTTTATTTTTGACAATTCAGAAAAAGTGAAGAAATATTACTTTTGACCACCTGCAGCTTAATCACCCCCAGTTTATTTCTTGTAAGATTAGGTTGAGTTTGGTTAGGTTAAGTTATGTTTGGCTAAGTTAGGTTAATTTTGATTAGGTTAGATTAGATTGCGTTAAGTCAGGCTAGGCAAAATTAGTTTATGTGAGGTTAAGTTACCGTTAGGAGGATTAATCTTAAGATGAAATATGACGAGAACTGTAAGATGATTCTTGTTTATTATTACAAAGAAAAAAATTACAAATACAAAACAAAAAAGAAAAAGCGAATTCTTCCTTGTTATCGTAGTGGGATTGTAAACAGTGACTCCCCATCGGTCGTCAGGAGGGCAGAAGACCACACCAGCAGTAGTAATAGGCCCCCGAGGAGAATAACTACCAACAGCACCTCCCTTCCTGTGCAACCTATCTCCTTGAACTCCTTTTCTAACCTCTAACGTCTCCCGCCACTATTGCCCCTATTGATGCTCATCCCTGGCAATACCACAACACCTTTACTGAATAACCTTCTAACACAGTGTAGCTTCGGGAATACATGGTGATGGTAAAAGATATGTCAGGCCCTCACTGTATAACAACGAGGTGGATTTGCATATTTGTACACTGAATATGTATAGTGTTTGTATATCTGCATTGTCCATGTATATATATTTATTCATGAGAAATGTGCGTGTATGTTCTGTATGACGAGTTTACCGATTAAGTCTCTCTCTCTCTCTCTCTCTCTCTCTCTCTCTCTCTCTCTCTCTCACCAGATCAACTGCAACACGCCCAGATGGTTGGCTCATGTGATGGACGTTTACGGGTCATTTGCCTCCATTTCACCTCCAACTCTTAAACTATCGCTGGACCGTTTAATAATCCAGCTGGCTTTTGTGACTCGACTATTATCAAAAGCCTTGTTTATATGGTGGCTTTTTTGTGATTGGTGGGCATAAGCTTTGCCTACGGTGGCAGTGTTGTGATTGGTGGGCACAGGCCTTGCTTACGCTGGCTGGGTTTTGATTGGTGGGCATAAGCTTTGCTTATCCGGTGGCTGTGTTATGGTTGGTGGATACAAGCTTTGCCTACGGTGGCTGTGTTGTGATTGGTGGACACTGTGAGTGGATATGTGGCGAAATCCAGACATATTTAATATTTCCCTGCGGTCGCTGATCACGTAACTGGTATGACAGGTAAGAGGCTGGCCAAACAAGGTGGTCGTATGATGAAGATATCCACTAATCACAACGTTAATAGATAAACATTAGTGTTTGGCACCTCAGTATGGTCGTAAGAGACAGGTGGTCGTCTACAGTGGTGGTCGCCCATCACAGGTTGCACTGTGTACAGGACGCTCAAACCAATTCCCCCGAGAGCGACCCTCGACTCAAGTGTCACCTCGTCTCCATTATTGTCCATAGAGAGTCAAGGACCTCTTAGCCCCTCCTCTTATTAAATGGAAAAAAAAAGTCTTCACCCCGAAATTATATTGTTATGGCAGACAGTCAAATGGTTCCTGGTGAGATGTTTTTATGTTATTTCTGTTGCCACTAATATGGATCATCCAGTTTTTTTATTATTATTATTCATTGATCTTACGTAATGATTTTCAAGTGTTTTCATGCGTTATGGACGTTTATCCTTGACGTACTAATATATAAACACAATCCGATTTGTTTTGAGATCAGATTTATCAACACTGGGATTGGTGTTTGCCTGAGGTGGGTCTTGACGGTCCTGGTATAGAGAGACAACAACAGACCCTCCTTCAAAACATACGACCATTCATTCATCTTGTGTATATCATATTAGCTGGTCTACATACAATCAGTTTCCACGTCTCACAATCGGTAATCACACGGCTGAGGGCATAAAGACGGCCAGTTGCGCAGTTAGCAGCGTTCATTGTTGACTTGTGTTGGACATCCGGGCACTTGGCCAGCTCTGGCAGCCATGCGATGAAAATACATGAAATATCTACACTCTGAAAAGATCTTTCAGTGGTACGCAAGAAACTCGCATGTGATATTATTCTATTTTGTGAAGAGCAGTAATGTCTACGTGGGAGTACTAATGTCTACATGAGAGTACTAATGTCTAAGTGGGAGTACTAATGTCTACGTGGGAGTACTACTTTCTAAGTGGGAGTAGTAAACTAGTAATGTCTAACCCAAGCAGAAAGATCACTCCTTGCACTACCACCGAGACTGGGAGGAATGGGATTGACCAATCCAGAGGAGATTGCTGCCACCGAACATCAAAACTCAGTTGAGCTCACGGCAGCCCTCACTGACCACATAATAGCTCAGAACGCAACAGGGGAGGTGGATACCAATG